ATATTCCAACTAATCGTGAGTTTTGAACAAATGGTTAAAGGTGTTACAATTTTCAAAGACGTGGCTCATTTGGTTTTGTATTTTTCCACCATTTTAGAGGGCTAACAACCTCACCAAAAAGCAGTTGTACAGTAAAAATGCCTGACATCTTTGTTTCCCCTTTTTTCAACAGTACACAACATGGCCAACCAATTGCAAGACCACCTCAAAGTCTCACCACTGCAGCAGAGATGCGAGAACCACCAGGATGCTGATGCAACCCAATGCAAACTGGGAGGAGTATCTGACTGTCTCTATTGCGCATCATGGGGAACTTGTTTCATCTCTTCATGTGAAGACTTCTCCATCAACATCTCTTTTCACCCACATAAATGAATAAATTTGGAAAAAACAAATAATTAAATAATTGTACAAATGAAGAAATACATAAATAAATAAATAATTAAAATTTTGAAATGCCTAAATCAGTAGGTGATAATTGTATAAATAAATACATGAATAATTAAATGAATAATTATATGAAAGCATAAATAAATAAATGAATAAATGTAATAGCATTTTTTATTACCAAAATCTATTTATTTTGCATTTATTTATGTATTTAATTATTCATTTCTTCATTTATTTATTTATTTATACTTATGTCATTTTTTGTCCTTCATAATTTTGTATAGCGTGTGGAATATTACAAATACATGTGAGTTTTGAACAAATGGTTAAAGGTGTTACAATTTTCAAAGACGTGCTCATTGTGGTTTGTTATTTTCCACCAGCTTTAGAGGGCTAACAACCTCACCAAAAGCAGTTGTACAGTAAAAAATGCCTGACATCTTTGTTTCCCCTTTTTTCAACAGTACACAACATGGCCAACCAAATTGCAAAGACCACTCAAAGTCTCACCACTGCAGCAGAGATGCGAGAAACCACCAGGATGCTGATGCAACCCAATGCAAACTGGGAGGAGTATCTGACTCCTGCTCCCCTCTCTATTGCCATCATGGGGGAACTTGTTTTCATCTCTTCATGTGAAGACTTCTCCATCAACAAGAATGCCCCAAAAAATGGCTTCAAGTTCATAAAGTACCCAGACTCCTTCAGGGCCTGTCTTATGCAAATCTGTAACTCAGGCTGGGGCGCATTCAATGAAGCCCACAAGAATATGGATCAGATCCGCATTCACACAGGAACAGTTCCTGATTACATGAAGGCAGCAGTCAACATCCTTTTCAACGCCACTGATGAAGTTATTGAAAATCTCCTGCCAAATCAACTGCAAAACATTCGTGAAATTGCAGACGACTGCGTGACACTAGCAGACGATGTTGAAAAGAAGTATACTGATGTCATCAATTTAATCCAGGAGCTGTTGGAGGCCTGTATCAATGCTCAACACTTTTATGGAGAAGAGCTAGAAAACGTTAAGATGAAACTGGAAGAGGCCAAATTGAGGGAGCAGACTTCCAAACGTCTGAATGAACAGTCCAAGAAAGCAATGGAGGCCATGTCAAAAGAGGTGGAAGAAGCACAAGATGCATTCAAGCAATCCATGGATTCCCTTCCTTCTGGATGGGAGATGATCGGCATGGATTTTGTTGAAGGACTCACATCAGCTGTAAATGGAATAATTAATGGTCTCACTTCTCAAATGATTGCTTCTCCCCAGGGAGCAGTGGGATCATCCCCAAACATGAGCATCACAGGTGAGAAAGTTGGTGATGGGATCACACAAATGAGAGCCTGCAGCAAGTCTGAAGAGATTCTGAAGCTTGTGGGAACTCTCAAAAACTGTGTCGGTGAAGAGGATATCGACTGGAAGAACCTGTATGATCAGAAGAATAAACGCCCAAAGTCTGCCTGGGCTCAGGAACAATTTCAGAGGATCTTTAAGGAAATGGAGAAGATGCCACAGGACAAAGCATGCTCAAAGGTTTTGAAACTCTGCAGAAAGAGCTTAAACATATGTGAGGATCTGGCAAAGTATTCCCCAGATAAGAAGTGGGATGAGGCGACAACTAAACGGCTGATAAAGGAGGTCAGTGAGTTGAATGAAAGTGCCCTCGCTTTTGACTCTTCAAGCAAAGGAACTTTAAACACTCCAGCTCTTGCCCCAAAACCACCGATGATGTACAAAGCAGAGGACGGCTCAGGAAAAAAGTCAGCTGGCCAGAGAGCATCTGAGAATGCCCGTTTCCGCATAGAGCAGAGCCGAGAACAGCTCAAACAATCACGGCAGTCATATGAGAAGTGTGTGGAGAACATGGAGAAGAATCAGAGGGAGCTGAATGATATCCTGGTTGAAATGCAGAACTGCAAAATCAAAGAGGTTGACTTTGACACCACCATCAAAATGTTGGTCAAGGGTCTCGATGCCATGGGCAGAGTCAAAGAGCAGTGGGAGAAGATGGTGCGCTTCTTCCAGATGGTCTCCAACATCATCAAAACTAGCCTCAGCAAGACTCTGCGCAATTTTGTCCAAACATCTGAGGATACAAAGAAACTTTCTTACAATGGCAAGCTCTTTACAAAAGACCTCCTGTACAATCAGGCTTTCCAAGCCTCCAACATTGCCAGCCTGGTCCACATGATTTCAATGACCTACACTGAAGTGTCCAACAAGTACCTGATGGACAGAGTGAGCAGCCTGGGCAAGCTCATGGTCATGGATAAGGATAAACCAGAATTCCTTCAGGAGCGTCAAAAACTGCAGAACTCCTGCCAAGAAGCTCAAAAAGGGATTCTGCGGCTGGTCCTGAAGAACAAGGACGAATTTCAGAGGAAGACCGATGCCAGGATGGCAAAAATAGAGGGCGAACTGAAGGCCATTCTGCCAGCTGCTCCACCCCAGGAGACTGAGAGAATCAAACAAATTGTTCAGGCCAGCTTTACTGAACAAGAACAAAACGATTACTGCTGAGTCAAGTTAATTGTTTTCATGTGAGAAACGTCACATGCCTGCTTTTAGGAGGCAATCTTATATAGCCTTGTTAGTTTCTCATGTAACCTCTGACCTTTCTGCTTTATTCTCTCCTAATGGTTAATTTTATGTGTAAGTAATGCAGGAACATATAAACAGAGCTATAGATGTGTTGGTGTGTCTAAAGAAATATATCTTGCTTTTAGAAATGATTTCTCACACATGTTTAATAAAACCACATTACTTCTATACAGAAAAAACATTTTCTTCAGACTATGAATTATGAGGTCTGGGTTCTGTTATTCTGACTCCAGCCATGGCAGTAGTAGGGTGCTGTTTTTATTGGAAATGTATTGACAATTACAAGGACTGGATCAATTTTGTTGTAGTAATCTAGTAAAGTAATCTAGTACATGGTTAAGAGATGACAATGGCTATGGACTACCAGTTCTATGATGTGCTATAGATGGCAGATCAAAGCATGGCGAGGCCTAGTCAACAGGAGCTATACAAGATACGTATCGAAAGTTGTAAAATATTACAATTAGGTTCTCTCATGTCTTCTCACCTACTATTGAAACCATTTATAAATGAATAAATATTAAAGCTGCCACGTTAATTGAACACATAAAAGTCACAAAGTATTTAATTCATGCAACAATGTGTGTTAAGCCTCTATCATGCCTCTATCAACCATTGAGACATCATCTGGACAAAGAGGCCAGGGTGAAGTTGAGGAGGTGAGGAGGTCATGTGAGAAGGAGGGTGACCAGCAGATGTTCTGTTTTTTGTTTTTTAATGCTCTGCATTATCTGTTCTCTCTTTTTTGAATAAATTCTTGAAGATGATGAATGCCTTTTCTTTACACATACAAGCAACCATATATCTAACAAACCATCATATCATTATATATATACTATCTCTACTACATGCTGCAACAAATAATGCACCAAAGTATAAAAACCTGAATATTAACATACCAAACTATCAATAACCTTGGTATTAATGTATCAGTGTTTCAAAAGCCTCAATATTAAGGGTTGACGTTAGGGCAAGGAACCATCTCATAGTGGGTTATTCTTGAATAACTTTTTTCCCGAATGAGAAAGAGACTTGAATGACAATTTTCGCCAGGGGGTTAGTGGGATACTGCAACGGTACCAGGCTCACGTCTGTACAACGAGCATAACAAACAATCAAACCACTATATCTATTATCTCTTTACATGTTTCACAAATAATGCACCAAAGTATCAAAAACCTGGATATTAACATAAGAAAGTATCAACAACCTAGATATCAATGTACCAAACTATCAATAACCTAGATATCAATGTACCAACGTATCAAAAACCTTCTTGATAACCCTCCCTGTGCAGCCTGACGATTACACAGTTTGTAATGGAGAGCCAAAGGAAACTCCTTTGGAGCATGTCACTCCGGGCTCTCCAAACCATGTATACTGACCCAAATGTGAAAGGGAAAGAAAGAGAAGAGAAAAAGAGAGAAGAGATGAGGCCATAAGGTTGTGCAGGTAAATCAGCAGTAGGTGGCGGTATAACCAAAGGCAGGAGCACTGTTCTCAATGTAATCCAACTTTTTATAAATCATGTTTAAGATTTCCGATTCATCAGGTTTATTGAGTTCATTCCTTTCCAAGTAATAATTTTATTTCTGAATTTTAGGAAACATCATCACAAGTGGATCTCCAGATTATTATACATTACCATGAATGAACCTGTCTGGAGCCAGATGAACAAAAAATAGGTAAAATGCCACTTAGAGAAGGCAAGCCAAAAAGGCTATCAGGAGGGGTTAGGGGTTGGGTTACAGTGACACTTGATACTCACATGAATTATCATGACTTTTTTGCTCTAACAGTCATCTTTTTGAGAGGTGCTTGAATGCTTTTTCTAGGGCATTAACATCTTGATTCATAGCTAATGACAGAGTATAATGCATTAGCACAGGTTTGGGGACAGGTTTCTGTCAGCAGCATTACTTCCTCTTCTCTTCCCATGTCTACTTCAGCCATCCAACACATAGATAATGCAGAGGCTGCGGCTTGGACCACATGTCAGCCCATGACTCAGTCACAGGTCACATTCAAAATGATCAACTACGTAATGTGATCTGGCTTGAAACTCACGAGAATACATTCCAAGGCCAAGCTTTAATTGAGCTGTTGGGGACCAAACAGGATTCCTGAAGTTAAACTCAGGTGTATAGTGATTTAAGGGGAGATACTATAGTAACTGGCTGGTTTCTTGCTTTTTTTGTACTTTTGAGTCCAGACTGGGAATTTATAACAAATTAGAAGAGTGCAAATTGTAGTCTAGTGTTTAAAAGAATCTGGTTTTCTTCCAAGTGCTCTTGAGTGTGACTCTAAAATGATCAAAATGGGAGACTTAGTGTCTAAAAGTGGATCACCACGGGAGCTCCCAGATCTGTTGTGTTGCATGCAGCATCTGTGTTGTGTCAAGTGTAAGTCACACTATTAAAAAAACAAGATAAAACAGCTTTAAACAGTGACTCCTTCACCAGGAATTGAAATATGGGAAACAAGTACATTTCAAACCCACTGACCTTCACTGGGAATGAAGCTCATTTATTTGTCATCTCTTGTGGTGTTTTTTATAACTTCCTGATGAAGGCCAGCCAGAATGTGAAAACAATTTCACCACAAGGTGCATTCAGGAGCCTTTGACCCTATCACACTATCTTCCTCAGCAGATTTGAGTTCGCCCAGTTGTCATATAAATGTAGAAGCTTACATTTCCATTGCTTTCATTCAGAGCACTTCATAGACTTCTCGACCATGTTGGCTTTTGAGGCAACTGGTCGAGCTCCATCAAACACATCTACTGAGGAAGATCATGTGATGCAAATTTATCAATTGTTTTTCCAGAAGTTTTTACTAAAGCAATATTTATATCAGCATCACAATAGACAAAATACCTTTGTGGTATCTATCCAGGCAGTTGGTTTGATTTTATGTGATGTTAGATTTCTGCCGCTGCTGAGTTACTGTGGAGGTTCATTGAATTTTGTTTGTGTTGCTCACAGCTCTGGAAACACCAACATGAAAAATAGAGCGTAAATAATAATGAAGATAATCTGCAGACCTCACTGAACAGCTTTCACTGGAAACATCTTCTACCAAAGAAATAGTCCCCATGTAAACTGTTGACAATGAGCTCTGTGGATTAAACAAAGGAACAGGGACATTGTTTCTCAAACAGGCGCTGCTGTTTAATTTCTCCAACTTTCAATGCTGTAAATGTCACAAATAAATATCACCTCTGTTTTGTTGGTATAGAGGCAGAGAGACACATGGGTATCTCAAAACAAAACTCAAAATTATTGGCACGCTAGAAAACCACTAGGGGTAAGTGATAAATGTGTTTTTGCTAATTTGAGTGAACTGACCCTTTTAAGAATTAATCAGAAGTTTCAACAGGGCAAATCCGAGACAGAGACAAAGAATGTATTGAACTGGCAAATGCTCAAATGTGAGTCCCTGTTGATACTGTTGATGACACACAGTCATCCAGGGACCTTGGACTTAGAAATATGCAGTAAAAATACTGTAGAAGCTGCAGGATCTTGTGTGAGGCGTAGCCCTCTCTCTTCTTCTGTGGTCTGTCTGTCAAAGTAATGTCGTCTAATTACTTAAACAGGCTCCACCAGCAGAGTCCAGCTGAGTTAGAGTCTCCTCAGAGGCTGAAATCTTGAATATTCACCGAGGAGCTTCAACCCCATTCTACCTCCTCCTCTTCCTCCTCCTCCTCCTCCTCCTGGGACCAAACAAGTCTGCTCTCCTACATCCCCACAAACAAGGTCAAGCATATTTCAGGAAGAGTCATGGGAAAAGCTCAAACAAATAACAGCACCACACGGCCCTTTTATTTTTCATCTGGGGTTGATCCTGTGATAAGATTTTAACAGTGTGTAAAGAGCAGGCTTGTTGCAGCGAGTCAACACTAGCACTGGGTCATAAATGATGATCAGAAGCAGGAAGTTACAAGGAATGTATATCACTGCCTGACAGTTACATTTCTCAGTTTATGAGGGAACTCCACAGGCCTGGAGTGAGAAGAGCGGTCATATTTTTACATTAGCACCTGTCAGGGCTGACTGCACCATCCATAAATCCATTAGATTCCTGCTTTTTCATCTTCTTTTCTAATTGTTAAAATAATATTCTTTAAGTCAAGTAAATAATCCAAACTCGAAGCCCGTTTACTAGCTCTCTCTGAAGTCGAGAAAGTGAACTATTAAATTAAACTATCAAACTAACTTTCTGTCTAATTAAAAATATTTCTGGACAACTTAAAGCTAAAAAGACTAGGTTCAAGGTGTTTCTGTGAGCATCGGAGCCAGAAAAACGACAGGACTATAGTCCAAAAAAACGTTGTCATTTTAGAGCAGTGTGTCCTAAACTACATCATCTTGTCAGATGGTTTTCTACTCCCTTCAGCTAACATGGACACTAGCCTGGCACAGCCTCCATATAAACACAATCAGAGCAGATCAGTACAGAGGTTCTGAACTGTAAATATTTATGCAGATTATGTAAGTAATAGTAAGGGAAAGTCTTCATGGGACTACCCTCATAAAACCATCTTTGGGAAAAGGGGTACGGGCTTTTCAAAAGAAACTTTTTTCCTGACCTTTTCTTGCTTTTTTAAGAGAGAAGTTGTCAAGACAGTTGATGATATTCAGCAAAGAGGGTGTTTACTTTCAGTTCCTTTATCTTAAGTTTGTGTGGTTTATTAATTTGTTTCTTGGTCAAAATGTACAAAAGGCAAATAAAGGGGATAGGGATAAGGGATAGTTTGCCATTTTAGGAAATACATTTTTGCTTTGTTTTGCTGAGAGTTAGAGGAGAAGATCGATACCTCTGTCATGACGCTGCAGCCAGCAGCTGGTTAGCTTAGCACAAAGACTGGAAACAGGGGGAAACAGCTAGCCTGGTTCAGTCCAAAGATCAGAAGATCCAGACACATGCATCTTTATAATGATGTATCTTCTTTGTTTAACCGATACAAATAAAAAAGTGTATAAATGACACATTGTGACTTTACAAGTGGTTACTACCCCTGGCCATAACTCAGGTCAGCAGCTGCTGACTGTAGCTTTATATCAACCATGTTGGAATGAGAATGGTATTGATCTCCTCATCTAACTCTAGACAACAAGACGAAACAAGCTTATTTACAACAATGTCAAACTCTTACTTTAAGTCTTTGAAACAGACAGCATCATTTAACACACAAATTCTTAAGTACAGTTTCTTCCTTTCCCGAAAAAGGCTGCAGAATAGTAATTCCCAACCTTTTTGGCTTGTGAGCCGTTAAAATTAACCAATATTTTGATTCCTCCTTGCTGTTACTTTAACTAAAGCTTTTAGTTTTTATAACAATGATTTTTAGAGGCTTGAAATTATTATTTATTAGAAGAAAACACAAGATAAAAGTCAATACATAATTCTGTGAAGCACAAATATGTTGTTTTGCATTTTCTCTGTAACTTCTGCTGTATCACAATTTTCCTTTGCAAAACAGCCTGAAACGTCAGCAGGCATAAAGACACCTGCTGTACATGATGAGGTGTATAATGCAGTTCAGTTCATACAAACAAATACTCCTTACATTAATTCATTTATACACAATCCTTTGTTTTATGGCATTTTTTATTGCATGTACACCAGTGACAGTTGATTCAAGCTGAAAAGAAACTTTAGCAAATTTGTTTTCAACAACTAGTTTACATACAAGCAGCAAGTAGCAGGAGAAGAAGAAAATCAGTTTTATAAATTGGGATATTTAGTTCAAAAAGTACAATGA